ACTTAAATATAACTTTAAGTTTTATTCATCTTGTACATGTTGATTCTGCAATTGTTCATAGATATTTTTTATCCAGCCAATAGCCGTGTTCGTAAAGTCGCTTATTACGAAAGTCAGATCGGCAAATTTTAGTGATACGGAGAAATTGTATTCTTTATTTCTCTCGGGCAAAAAACTTTTTTTTAATTACAGAGAATATAGAATATTTTATTTTCGAGAAAACCCCTAACGAAATAATGTAAACTAACATGCACTGGAAGGTAAATAGTAATATCTAACTCTTAAAGAACAAAATGTATGCGACATATCATTTCATTACTGTTGAGGAAACATTTAAATAACAAATGGGAACGCATAGAAAAAAATATCATGGCTTTCTCTCAATTCATTTATTTGTCACGTACTCCACATGCTCTGTGCTGATTGTTTACAAAAGTCACGATCCGGTATACTTCAGCAACAAACTCGAAAGGTAATTAGCTCGCGATAAACAATCACTGAATGAAATAATATTTGTCGATGATACGTTATAGATTCGTAATTAATATTGAAAAACGTGCATACAGGACTTAGTTTAGTATATATGCATGCATTGGTTCAATAATTTCGTTAACATTAAAACATCAAGAAACTCGTTTCATATGACCTTATATATAGAGTCTGTTCAATGTTGAGGTGATGTTTATATGGACCAATTATAATCAAGCAAAGAATAATTTGATTGATAGCATTAGTTATAATACTAATAAGTTGAACACAAGTTAACGTTTGTTACGATAGAAAAGATAATCGAAAGATTGCACTTTGTAAAGACAGCTGTTTCATAAACCACGCCTCTTTTGTGGAGATAAATAATATTCATAGATATCTTGTTTTGTTTACATACTGGTTCCAATATATGATCTCTATACTTTGTCTCGTAGAGACATAACTTGGGAATGTTACCAGTATAAATACACATGGATAGCGGGTAAATCGAATTTTGAGGACGACCCATTAAGGGAGGGGTAGTACAGAATTTTAATATAACTTTAAACTCTTAGAAGTTCGGGGTACATACATGTTGAAAATATGCCGCACAACCCTATGTTTTGACCTTCGAAAAATTAGTAGTGCAGATGAACTTTCCTTGCTAGGATATTTTTTTTCACGAAACTTCATAGTAAAAGTGGCACAGTTCTAGCCCTTAAAGGAGTTCCTATGGGAAATTACATTATCTATATTCACAGTGCAACCTGTAACACATGACGAGTGTAATTAATATAATTGATGTTAATTTAACTGTTTTATATTTATGGTGTAATAGTCGCAATCATATAATGGCTCAGTTCAACACACCACAATACGAAATCGAACGTTAAACCATGTTCAAACCTGACATCCAGAATAAAAGTACTTATGCTTTCTTTTTTCTTTTTTCTTTTTTTATCCAATTCACATTGTTTCACATTATCTTTTTATGATTTTTAATTATAAAGCTTTATTTTCATAGTTAAATTTGTATTGTATTGAGTTTTTATTTATAAATCTCGAATGTTGAACGTTATTTTCAATGGGGAAACAAAACCACTCCCAATAAAAATAGCTATTTTAATCATTGGATATATATAAATTAAAGAAACTCAATTTCAATAAGACAGCTAAATATTTTGTGTGCATATGTATTGTCAGCGTTATCAATAAGTGATTTAAAAGTATGCATTATTCATACTTGAATATCATCAATCGTACTCGAGTGGTATCATGAACGGACCGAAGACAATTGTTACAAAACCCGCTTGCAAGTTGGAACCCCAGTGTGTAGGACGTTTCTGAGAGGTAAAAAAATTGTAAGCTAACAGTTAAAATTTAGAATATTATTTAAGTTGGGTTGACAATGAATTTTTGAAAACTAATCTATTGTTCGAACAATAGACTGGCGTTAGTGAAATGGGTAAATTCCGGCAGTATATTTAGAAAATTCCTTGATTACTTAACGAAAAGCAATCCTCAAGTTTACGACAGGTGTTGTCGAATTGATCAATTAAATGAAATTTAGACGGATCTTTAATGAGTTTGGCCATTTTGATTCATAAAAATACAAAGAACGAGTCATCTGCTATTAAAGGGGCACAGTTCGTACCAAGAATGAATACCTACAACCTATCGAGAAGCGAAAATATGGAGAATATTTACAGCTTTAAACATTTCTTCACACTTTCATTGAGTATATCTAGCATATTTCCCCCCCAAGGGTGACTGGGGAATAGAAGTATGGTCACCATTGGTCTTCCTCCGACCGGCAGTAAAACCCGTGCTAAAGTGGGGCGTCCGTTTGGCTGTGCGGGATGTACAAATTTGCAGCCACGTCCGGTCAGAATGGGGACGTTAAATCCGATGCCTCGTCTAAAGAGAGTGCCACGCTCTTTGCACGTTAAGAACCCTTGCAACAACTCTTTGAGGGGTCCGTAGGTGACCTGTTGCAAGGCTAAATTTCTGTCCCTATCCAATATACCCTCATTTCCCTTGCCAGTCTAAATTTCTCCGACCTTAATCCCTTAATCTATTACAGAACCTACCTATTGTATTTATTGTAAACTTGTTCTCGTCCTGAATATGCATGAAATATTTGCCACTGGACGTTAAGCAACCAACAATCAATCAATCAATCTCACATATTTACCTTTTCCGCTACAGCGGAAGGCTTTAAATGAGTTACAGAAAATCAAAGGACCTTTTAATCAAATAAGAATAATTATGTTTGATTGTTTTAAAGTGTAGTGTAGAAAAGGCAACACTATCAATCGAATTGAAAGGACTAACAATTAGACGCAGTTGATCTAAAACATCCAAAGAATTTGTTTCCACTTCAAAAATAATTAATACCATTATTTTCATATAATTTGTTACAGAAGTTAATGATAAGTTCTTTGAAAGTAGTAAGGGAACTAGTAAAAAGCACTGAAAAATAGTAGAACATTTATTAGAATCCAAGACGAAAAGATACCTGACGGAGTTTTTGTGTAGTTTAGAAAGGAATACATAATATGGGCAATCAGATGTTCAGAGAAAAAAGAAAAATAGCAAAAACACAGAGCTTTAAGGAAAATTCAAAACGGAAAGTCCTTATCAAAATGCAAAATCAAAAACTCAAACACATCAAACGAATGGAAAACAACTGTCATATTCCTGACTTGGTACAGGCATTTCCGTATGTAAAAAATGTTGGATTAAACCTGGTTTTATAGCAGTAAACCTCTTACTTGTATGACAGTCGCATATAATTACATTTTATTGACAAGAATTTGTCAGGAAAACAAACAAACATAAAAGGTAAAATTGCAGGGGAGGCCTTAAGCTGAGATGTGGTTACAAATGTTTATATTTGTTTACTATTTGACTCTCTGTGGAGCGCACATATATCCATGTAGTATTTACGTCATACCACCATCACATTGTTGGCTGCGTTGTCGGCCGGTACGAACACAAACTGCTTTGAGAGTACCGGGATTTTTTTTTTAAATTCAAGAAGTAGTCCTCTCATCAACCCTTTTATTTATTTATTAAATATTTTCAAAATGTGATGTTCGAATATCCCGTTTACGCCAATTTTTGCAATAGGATGAAAGGACATCTTTAATGACCTGACGACATTTATTATAGATGGAGGACAATAGTTTGGTCCTTTTTTAAAAGCTCTTAACCTCGATCTTCACCGATGTCTAGGTCCCCTGTAATAGCATCGCAATAGGGTTCATATATAAAATTCGATGTTTCACAGTCTCAAATTGCATGAGCATTATTTTCTACACTGACATCTGATATCACTGCTGTCTAAATAAAATTATACTTCTACTGGGTTTTTGTATTATACGAAATATGTGGATCTATGTTATCAACGTATGGAGGTATGAAGTTTTAAATGGTAGAGTCATAAAATATTATTAATAAAATCATTACAGTTGTTAATATATTTAATTTTAAGAAATGCTGTTAATGATCGTTGTTTTATTGATACGGGGGGACAGCCTATGTTGGCAAAAGGCTGTCATAATAAGCGTACATTCATAGAATGTACTAAAAACGGAATTGGATCACACTTCTTGAAAATATGATGTTATTCATTAATTGGTATTTGAACAAGTTTGCATGATAATTCATGTCTAACATTGTATTAAACTAAGGTCAGAGATCATCAAAAAAGCAAGTGTACAACTCGTATGATGTGTAATTCGTTGATTTCGATTGATACGTTTGCGAGAGACCTATTATTGTAAAGTTTTTAATTATCAATTTTCATGATGTCAATTAGAGAGAGTTTTAGATATGTTCTCTAGTCCCATGATATTAACATTCGGATTGAGGCGATATGTTGTCTGTAGTCGTTTAATCCAAAACAGTTCATTCATTTTAAGGGAATCTACAAACTGTTTATATGATTTTCCTTGTTGTTTTTTGACAGTTTAGAGTGGGTTGAATTTTATAAAATGATATTTTGTCTTTTTATGTTTTCTTAAATGTTGGTTAATCAAACTTTAAAACGTCTTCGGTTTTCGGAAGCGGTATATATGCTCCTGTGTTCCCTTAAAAAATGTACGTCCCGTTTGTCCTACATATTGTATACCACACTTTGAATGGTTTGGTTCAACTAACAAAATAAACAAGGCTTTAGAGTTTTCAAGTTACAGGAAAATTAGAGCAAAAAAGCTCTTGCGTTCACTGTATTATAAACATTGAAAAGACATTGTCTTTTGTGACACAATTATAACAACAGTTTAATTCCTAGGCAAATTTCAGTTACGGGCGGTTGAATGTTTGTTTGTACTACTATTTAAGCACGTAGATATTGGTGAATTTATAGTATACGTATATATAAAATTCTTACCGTTTCGTAATACCATATCAAGTTGATTCTATGTTATCATAATTATCAAAAGTAGAATGAAAAGAAGGTTCAAGTTGATTTCTTTATTTGTCCTTTTAAACAGATGAATTTAATCTTTCACGAGTTTTACTTGCAGGAAATTATATCAATACAGATTTGTTTCCAGATGAAGGAAGCTCTGTCATTTTGAATTGTACCTTTATAGTGGTCAACGAAGGATCTTGGGTTGGTCCAAATAGATCTTCTACTTCTTCCTAAAAAGGCAAAAATGACACAATGCCATATACAGATAGATGTGATTTGAATCCTCAGTTGAATGAAACAAACATAAAAATAATTCGTAACGATATTACTAACCAATGTTCATTAGAAATACAAAATTTCTCCAGAATTGACGAAGGTACATACATATGCCAGAGTTTCAAGTTAAAAGTTCACTCTTTTAACGTTTTCATAAAAAGTAAGTATCTATGTTTTATTATTTTTATGAAAAGGAATAGTAACAGTTATACATACTAGAATGCATTTTTAAAGTATAACAATTACACATTTTCTGTACTCCGCTTATAAAACATTGCTATACTGCAGTCTCGATTCGAATGCAAATCAAACATATGGACAAATGAAAAACCTTTAATTCTTTATGATGTAAATTTGAGCAAGTTCTTAAAGATATCAAAAAAGTACATCTATCATCAGTTATGTCGTATTCAATAAAAGAAATTACAAAAAGAGAACATTGAAAATAATTCTAATAGGTAATTTGCTCATGTCTAATAATCGAAAACATACCTACATGTATTAAATTTAAATAAACATATTTACTAAACTAAAAAGCATTACATTTTATCTCTTATGTACAGGACTACCATCCAACTTGACAATCGCCACTGACAATGAGAATCGAAATTTGACAGTTGTGGAAGGTAAAAATATCAGTATATTGTGCCAGGTTCACGGTGGAAGGCCAAAAGAAAAACTTACATTGATTATAAATGACACGGTTAGAGGAAATGGATCAAAACATACGTTTACTCCACAAAAGTCTGACAACAATGCGTCGGTTATATGTGAAGCGTCTAGCTACATAATGGAGTTTCCTTTGGTGAAGAAAACTCGATTAGATGTTCATTGTAAGTCAGTTGAACGTATTTTGATTAAATGATAATCAATACTTTATTGAGATGTCGTCAATTGAGTAATTATTACTTTAGTTTTGTTAGCAATTATTATAATCAGCTCATTTATAATACAAAGACAAAATCTTGTAATGTAATTTTATTTTTTGATAAAAAAAGATGCATAAAGAAAGGGGACAACTTTTATATTTCAGTTAAACCATCTGGTGTTTGTAAACTAGAACCCAAACATCTGATAGAAGAAAGGAATGCAAAATTATGTTGTGTAGTTGAAAGCAACCCACAGTCGAGTTTTACATGGACTATGGCTAGTGACGAAATTCTACGACTTAATAAGACAAACGAGAATTGTCTTGTTTGGTCTCCTATTAACCGGAAACATGATGGACGTTATTATTTCCTAGCTGAAAATTATTTAGGCTCTTTTAATTCAACAATAAAGATCCAAGTTGTTTGTAAGTGCATTTTGTACTTGTACTTATTTTGCGTTTAATTGCAATACAACATTAAGGTGTGTACAGAATTTTACAGCGGTGTGGAAAATTCATTCACCACCGATGTAAAATTCCTTACACCCCTGTTTACACCAAGATAACGAATTTATATCTTATGAAGCGTTGCTGTACATGTCCTCATTTTATACCGGGGTTTGAAATAAAAAAAATGCTTTTGAAGGACTTCCACTACAACACAGATATTGCTGTGCATTGTCAAATAATATCTATTTTAGTTTATTTTTAATTTCGGGAATGGGGAAATAAAAATTTGTTGATTTTTTTTTTAGCCCCGAATAAACCGGTGTGGGTTATTATTCATACCTGGGTAATTAACCAATCAGATTGCAATATTATTGATTCATAAAAATTTATATTAGTTATCTTGATGTAATCAGGGGTGTACAGAACTTTACACCCAGAGGCGCAGCGTTCCTTTACTATTTTCTATACCGGAATGTAAAAATTGAAAAATGCTTATGGAGAACTTCCACTAAATTTTATCATCACCAATTTTGCTGCGCATGTGTCGAATATTTCTTTCTTTTATTTTTCTTTATTTTCGAGGAATTTGTATTTTTTTTTTATTTTCTTTTTTGAATTCATTTAATATTTGACTTGCTTTTAAATTTTTTTTTTTTTTTTAGTTTTTTTTTCTATTTTTACATTTCAATTTCTATATATTTTTGGCAATTTTTTTTTTTTAAATTTTGCAAATTTTTATACCCCGGGTAAACAAAGGTGGGGTGTTATTTACATCCGGGTTATTAACCGATGATTGCAGGATTCTTGCTGCGTAAGAAATAATGTAATTTATCTTGAGCCAATTTACAAAACAATTATCATACTGTTTCCGTAGTATGACTTCCTTTTACAAACGGTTGTGGAATACCTTTGAAAATGACATATGAATTGTTATTTTTGTGATTATTCATTTCAATGATCTACTTTTTAGATGCAAAACCTACTTCAAATTCCTTACAATGAAACTCAATCAAGTTGTAAACGTAGAATAATACTCTGGTCTGTTTATAGTGTATTTTATTGTTGCATTGTCCTGGAAATAATATCTCATTGTATTACTAGAGAACTAGCATTTAAATAAAATAATTTGTAATGAAGAATAGAATTCTATCTTTAATATAATACGAAAGTCATATTGTAGTAAAAAAGACTTTATTGTAATGATTGTGTAATGGTAAACTAAAATGAAAGTTTTTCGCTTTTTCAGAATTCAAATTGACCTCACACTGTTTTAGTGGATGATATTAGCAAGCAAAATCGAGAGAATTGTGCTAATCATGACGCAAGCATGAAAATAAGCACAAAGCATGTTAATTATATATTTGTTTAGAAAAAAAATACTTGCCAAAACAAAATATCATTTTTTCAAGATGGCTACGGCCTTTCTCTAAAATGGCTATTGTGTCCAGTTCGAAAATACTTATTTTTCTAGTAAACTGTTTTTGACTTTCTTTGGTAAAATATCATCAGGTTTGGTGGTTACATTCCTTACACATGACGTAAACACTTGAAATGAATATTTTACATGTTCAGGGTTTTGCACATGCGCAAAATGATATGATTTATTGATTTTATAACATTTTTTCAAGGTTATGCTTTACATTCGTTCAATATATTTATATAATTATAAAGAACAATTTGCACGCACTACCATGGTACAATGGTATAATTCGCTGCCAATAATAAACACGGCATGGGGTCCATTGTCGGCTTTTATTTTTAAGTCTACCAAATACTTTATGATTTGCCCCTTAGTTAAAGCCATAATTCAAATATTTCTAATGCGGCGTTCACACAGTGCCGATTATGACTCCCGTTTGAGATCAGACAGCGATAAGACACGAAAAGTGAACAAGTCTGATTACTATCCTCAATGATCTGGAATGTCCTATTATTGTCTGAACGCAGTCGTATACGTTCGTACCAAGCACCCAGTTAGGTGCGTCCCGTAACATTCGGGAAGACTCAGCCGATTTTGTCTAGTCGGATTACAATCGTGACTTTGTCGTGACAGATTGTGCTGTATCGGATCAAAATCGTGACAACATTCTGTGTTTTCTGGACGGAGTCCTGTGGAAAGGGCATGATCTGGAGAAATTTGTCATTGCTGTTTTTTGCCGATTGAGTCCAGATTACAACCAGATCTTGGCGAATGCGTACCGTTTTTGCCGAAACCGTTCCGGAACAGTCCTGTTATTAATACGAAATTCGGCAAAGATACCCACGTCAGAGTCCCGACAAATACAGAACACAATACGACTGAGTCCAGACAAAGCCGTTTGCAATGCGGTTCAGCGGACTGTGATAGGATTGCGTTCCGAGGGTACCTGATCATCCCGGATATGGCGACAGTTTTCTAACGGATATCTTCCTTCAGCGTCGGTTCACTGTCTTGTCACTGTCTGATCTCTGTCTGATCACATTCGATAGAATCGGGACGCTGTCTGGACATATTCGGTCGTTTTTTGCCATGCTAAAGATACAAAACGGACTAAAATCGGATTGAGAACCGTATAATCGAGACAAATGCGGCTGGAAACGGCTGAATTTGGACGCTTCCTGAACAATATCTGATTGTTGTCGTGATTAAATAAATGTTTATACACATTGAATTTTGAATTTCAAGCCACGATTCACAGGATCTTGATCAGGCTTTTGACAAATTTTAATCGGGAATGGTGCTGTCGTGAATGTGTGACCCCAGCTTAAAGTGACTTTAAGAAAAGGTTTAATTTTGATTTCTGTTTTGCAATTATGTTTGTTATTGTTAGTTTCGTGAGTCATATTTCGTACTTTATAAACAGTTCATATCAAGCATGATACCGTAATATTTTGGTCTTGATCGTGTCAATTATGCTCGATGGTTACTGATTAATATTCGAGATATAGCTTCCCTTCACGAACATCACCTACAGGTAGCAATGGAATTTGGAAATGGTACTTTCGCTGTACGTAAGACCAGCAAGTTGCTTTCTAATATGGCAATTAACCAGCACATGAACAGAATAATGCAATCGCGAAGGGCGATGTTGGTGCCATAGGTTTAACCGAATATTCCTCAGCTTTTAGATGATGGGTGGTAGCTGGACCAGACGTCAGTAGACTGATAGATGAATTTGAAAGATCTAGTGGTTTGAGTCAGTCAACAACAGATGAACGTCACCGCGAAGACTCTACGAACAAAAAAAGGATTTCTTCGAAAAGTTTCAAAGGCTTTCCAAAGTGATGAATGAGTTTAGGAATCTATTTCTAGTGGAGTCATCTGATTTACACAAACTTGACCCAAAGGAAATTGTTGATCCGGAAGCAGTTTAGATATGTAAAAAAGTCCAAGATATTGGGTCCAAACAATAAGAAGACTTTTTGAAACAATTGCTAAACGAAAGAGAATCTGCTTTTCATGACCAGATAGAAAGAACATTTCTCATTATTCAGCCGAAAAACGAAACCGGAAACGTCTTCGTCAAAAACAAAGCTAAATAACCTGAAAAGCGATTGCAATCTCTTTTCTAGACTTTTCATTTCATGTTAAAGTAGACAGTGTGACTTGGAAGATTCTTTAACCATGAAAACTAAACTGCTCCACCGTCTTTGTCTCAGGGTGGCACTTTAAATAGTGGTATTAAATCGCAGCTCATGGATACATGTTGTACTTGAATCAGTCTGTGTTTTGCCATCAACTGATCCACATTCTGATGCCTTTATCGTTGATGGGACAGCAATGGTTAATTCCAGGCCACCACGTGGGGCAAAACATTTGATGATAATGCAAATGATGTCATACTGCCTTGCATAATATCTTACACCAATAAGTATTCAAGAGTAGACATTATTTTAGACGTTTACTTAAAGCATAGTTTAAAGAACGGGACGAGAAGAAAGCGAGGTGCTGGTGCTAGACAGAAAGTTATTCGTCCTGGTAGAACGCCAAGGGTTTGGAGTAGTTTTCTCCGTGAAGATGACAAAAAAAAACGTAATTGTGCAAGTTTCTCGCCGACAGAATTGAATCTTTAGAAACTGATAAAAATATTACTTAAGTTAAAAATGTTCTTTGCATTTTCAATACGGATTCTCCCCAGCTGTCCCCTTGTAATCACGAAAAAGCAGAGACATAATATTTGTTCATGCTGAGCATGCTGCTGTAAATAGTTGTAATGAAGTAATTTTAAGTAGTAATGACACTGATAGTTTTAGGAATTTTAGCATTCCAAAGACTAGGTGTGTACAAATTGTGGATAGATTTCAGACGGAATAAAGACTTTCGATAGCTTCCTGTACATGACATATCAAATTCGTTAGGTCCTCATTTATATACTCCTCCTTTTTACCATGCATTAAATGGACGTGACACTGTGTCGGCATTTCGTGGGAAAGGGAAGAAGTCAGTTTGGCAAACATGAGAAGTGTTTCCAGATGTAACGGATATTTTTACCCGCATGAGTATGAGACCAAACTTTGTCGAAGACACAGACATGGACATCCCAGAAGCATTTGTGTGCATCATGTATGACAGAACAACATCGACATTTGCTGTTAACGATCCACGATTGGAATTGATTATCAGGAAATAGCGGTCTTATGATGCCATTCCACCCACCAGAGTTGCTCTTCTGGAACACACCAAAAGAGCAGAATATCAACATGATCAAGGTGGACATGGTTGGGCTTAAACGGATATATGCATTCAACAAGTACCAAGTCCTGAACACTTGGATGAAGGATAAAAATGACATTTTTGCCGTTTTGGCCGCCATTTTGGAACCGGAAGTTACATTTTATCTTCATTAATGTATTGTTTCATCGTACTTTAGGGACTGTAAGTTACTTTTTTAGCAACATTTGCATTGGATTATACCTTCAACACAGTTTTCAAAGGATTCACGAAATGTAGCCAATTTGAACTGACGCCATCTGCAAAATGAGCGGTGGCCATCTTGCAAAAATGATATTTTTAATATGGCCAGCAGCTGTTTCTTTTAAATGAACATTTAGGTAACCTTTATACCAAAATTCATGCTTGTATCACGATTTGCACAATTGTTTGCATATTATCTCCCACTATTGCAGTTGTATTGTTAAGGCTATTTTGATATACATGTTCTCATTTGTTTCATGTCTTTAATTATTCCAAACACTCATGTCTTATCCACTTAAATAGGTATTTCAAATTTATTAAGGTGTAATACCACCATTGATTTCCCCCTATTAGTCTTTGTTAAATTTGCACTTTTCCAAAAATTGTGCAAAATTTATCTTTGTATCAAATAAAGAAATACTTGGTATGAGTAAAGTTTTATCCTGTCCAGTACTATAGACAAAATTCCACATAACATTTCATTGCATATAAGAAAATAACCATCACTGGAAGTTAACCAATCAAATTTTCTCCCCTTTTTCCCTGTGTACAAGCTTTAGTAACCATGTAACCTCAAGTTTCCAAAATATTCTATAGCAACACCAAATAAAAAAAAAATGATGCTTTGAAATACCCAAGATATATGTTTATGACTAAGAACTTTTTAATTGCAATTAAATGTAAGATTAATTTCCTACAACTGTCAAGTTCCAAGGAATATTGTTTTCGACCATTTTTCGTATGCAACCGGATGTGATGTACTATGATTTGTTGGTATTACACCTGAAGTGTGATGTCAAGAAAAATCATAAAATTTGATAGATAAGATAACTCATTTGTACTTAAGAGCTTTCATGTAATCATTGTGATCGTCAATGCACTATTTCCTCAATCGTAGATGAAAAGTTGCAATTAAGTAATATTTACATGTAATTTTTGACTCATTAAAATGATCATAAACTTTCATAGAGTTTTAGATTTCCTACATACACCCTCCGAGCTTATGGTGTCCTTTAAACGAACTTTTATCCATCATATATGAAACACTGACATGCTGTTAAAATTTCCGACTTCCATGTTGATGTTTCTCAGTTCTAATTTGAAATTTCTCAATTATAATATAATATTTCTCTGTTCATTGTTCAGTTCTTTCTTGACGTATCTCACTTTTGTATAAAATTTTTGACAAAAAAATGTAAATTTTCAACTTTTCCCAAAAAAAGACGAAAAAGACAAATCAATTGAATACTTTGCTCGGGGAGATGCATGTTATAATTAGATTACTTTTAATTTATGTTTCGTTGGGTTTCATCTTCATGGACGTCTCTTTTTATTAATATTAACACATTTACATATTTTAGATTCAAAAGCTTAAATAAAAAAAAAACAAAAGCGCACGGAGAAATTGTTTTACGACTTCATAGTCCTGTGGCATATCTTATCTCTGGACAATTCAAAATTAAACAAATGAAAGTTTACTTCGGCGTAAACCCTTCCAGAGTAAAATATTAGAATGTCCAATATCCATTTTTGATATTGAAGTGTTGAATCTGAATGTATATTACAATCTGAATTGTTGTAATTATTTTTGGTAAACAAAGCACAAATGTAATTTTACAGACCCTCCACAAGTAACAGTTGCATACAATTTAACAAATGGGACTCTTAATTTTGAGTGCAGTCCATCAGGAGTACCAAACAATTTCACGTTTACTCAGTTGGAGCATAGATCCGAGTTTGATGAACATATACGATTTTTGAATTCTCCAAACGATTATTCTGTTCTTCGTATATCAATCGGAAATGCTGGATTACAGGACATTGGAATCTATATTTGTAAAGTTTCAAATGGTGTACCTGATCAGAAAGGAAGAAAATTTCAATCGGGAAAAACCGTGGTTTTTGAATTAGAAGGTAAACTAATTGAATTACACATTGATTGATTACATATTGCATAGTTAGAATAATTCTATTAAGTTTTGTTTGTTTTTATAATATTGTCTATCAGATACACCGTGATGTGAAATTAACATCAGCAGCCGTCTACGGATAGATAAGTTCCATAAGATATATGTAATAATCTCCTAGTTAAAACTTTTTTTTCTTCAAAATTGAGCATGTTGGCGGGTTAATAAGTTGAACGATACGCTAACGAAGCCCTACGTTCGTGTACAAAGGCATTAATCAAACGATAAACTATAATACAATTACAACTTCTAAATTAATGTTAAAGGGGCATTAGCTGTCAAATTCATGTTCACCGATTTGACTCAAATTGTCATATTTGATTAATAACATACTAAAACGTATATCCAAAATACAATAAGCCTGAAATAAACAATTAACAATGCACGGACTCGATAACATATATTAGCATTTCGTGTGTATTTTAGTCTAGACGCCATCTAATTAATCATCGAGATGACCTACGAAAACTGCCGACGGTCACATAACCCGATATAAACATTAAAAAAAATAAGTTAATCATCGTTTTTACCTGTGTAAGAATGATTTTTTGTGGATCAAATTAGTCAACGAAATGGTTCACCTTTGTTTCACTTTCAATGTTGACATTCTTTTTCTTATAATGGCTGAACACGACTAAAACATGCGTAACCAATCTCTAGCTAATTGGTTAAATTGAATGTCATATGGATACGGATTCAATGAGGTCGAATTATTCACTTGCAAGTGAATAATTTATCAGCTATTTTTCTTTGCTTATTTTGACAAAATTGAACAAAACTGGTTACTTAAAGCATATTATTATTTCACTATTTCACTTTTATTAATGATTGAACAAATAAAAAATCATATTTCATTTTTTTTTATATCTCGTAGTAGCTAAAGCCCCTTTATTAACAAATTGACTTTATATAAGATTAAGACATTATGCTAATAGAATGGTCTGGGTTCATTATTTGTAGCTGCATTTACCCCCAAAAATCAGTTACAGTACTATAAATGCAGCATTAATATTGCAGATGCGCCTATATTTCTTGATGGGGATATAATCCGATTTGCAAAGATTGGTGAAGTTATTTGCATTTCAGCTGTAGTTTACAGTAGATATGATATGCACAGTATTACTACTATCCAATCGAAAAGAAATATAATGCATAAACTGAAAGTAAACAGAAGTTTTGTTAAAGTACGCAAAGTGTTTCATGGTTCAAATATAACACTGAATACTTCCCAAGTATCTTTTCAACTAGATCTGATGACACAGTGGAATTTCACAAAATACATTCTTAAAATCTGCAACACATATGGATGCACAGATATCAAAATAGATATAAGAATTGACACCTCAAACATTCAAGGTATGCTTTAGAGTATGATTCGTTTTGGCATTCACATTTAGTCTGTCAATTTTCATGATTCTATTAGTAATATCAGTAACATTGGTTATCAGAAAACCATATAACAGAAGACTGAATATTTTCCTTCCATCTATAAAAATTCCAAATTGCATAGAATTTTACTATCGTTTCAACAAAATATTGGGAGTGATCTTCTTAAAAATATGTAATATCGTGTGAAAACGTAAAAATATCTAACGATATGAAGCTGCCATGGACATGAATAAATAAGGAGATGTGAAGTATACGACAATGAGGTAACATCCGAACGACACAAACAAGACAAAAACAAACAAAAACAAAACCATAGAAACACAAATAGGTCTCCAATAATTATCGACCAATTCTAGGCCTATAAATGATTGATATAAACGCGTATAAAAAGTACCTTGCATTCTATTTTATTATATTTTCTCCAAACGTACATCGATATAAAAAGAAATTCCCTATTAAGTAATACATTCAAGATGCAAAAAAATATAAAAAAAATAGTGATATTTGTCAATTCATTCTACGTACACAATGTTATTGTTAATATATATCATGTAAAAGTATATTGGTTCTTGAAAATACTTACTACATGTAGGAAGTACAAGAAGTAAATACCAAGACGTAGAAATAGTGTTTGCAGCATTAGCAGTTTTGTCTGTTCTAGGAGTTGGAATGACTGTTGCATTTTTAATATGGAAAAGAGGTAATTTTGTAGATATTGATAATAGCCTTTCAAAAATAGGTGTAATCATAAGGTTCTAATTTCTTAATTTTATTAGTTATGAATTTACTAAATCATAGATTTTAACTCACCCAGTTATAGTTAGCCTCTTGGCTGTTTTATTTAGTACCTGTTGTATTTTAAGAATGCTCTCAGCATTTTTGTTATGAATTTAAAGAGAAAAATGTGGCAGCAAACCAACGAGAAAAAAACATATAAAAGTCAATATTTGCTGTTCAATTTGTTTTCTCTAATATTATAATTAATTCTGTAAATTACATAATTCAACAAAACTAAAAAGTGTGACTAAATGAAATAGAGACTATCAAAGATCTGCTATCTAAACAAGTTAACTGTGAAGACACAAACATTTAAATATAAAAATGCCCGATTTTGATTGGTTAATACGAGGGCGACAATTTACTCTATCCTATGGCAAATACTCTATTACCCTTCACGGAGACGCTTGATCAAGTGTGCGCTTTATTAAATACGGATGGTTGTTATGTACAAGACGTCATAGTTTATTACTTTGAATTTGAAATTTAATAGATATAGAATAATACATGGCAAAATCCGTATCGCATGCTGTATCACCACGAGAAACCAATATCAGTCCCGAGGGCCGATGGTCCCGAGGGCTGATATTGGTCGAGTGGTGATACAGCATTCGATACGGATTTTGTCATGTATTATTCTGTTTATCATATATTTAGATAGAATCAGATTAATGTGATATACGTTTTTTTTAAAATCGTTCAAAAATATAACAAACAAAAGAACATAAGGATTTTCCTGTAATTTTCTAGCTGACTTAGTTTATTTTATAGACTTCCTTATTTGCTTAATATCCACATAGTAAAGTCCCCTACAACCTTATTACATGCTCAATATAGAGCTATGAAACTGGAAAATAATATACTTTAAGACCATGTATTTAAAAGTATTCACTAACAATAGTGTCAACTGTTTCCTCCTGTAGAATACAACCCACCTTCCAAATAATTGTTGTTAAGTTTAATCATTATACTACAATCTGAACTCATTTGTATACATAAATATGGACAACAATGTTACCAAGTATCATCTATTCAAAGATTATTAGCAGACAAACAGGAAATTCCCATATACACAGTCTTTGGACAAAAGTGAGTTCCCACTAAAAAACTTAGTGCATCTATTTTATAAAAATCGCTTATTAAGTTACTGGGTAATTTTTTTTTTGAAAAATATCGATTTTAGTTGAAATGATATGTCATTTCTTGAGTGGGAACTCACCTTTTTTCCTATGCCAAGAAATACAGCAACTGGACGTCATCAGTCAAACGTTGACGTCATTTGATTTATGACGTCACGCCAGGTATGCGATACGGATTTAGCTATGCGATACAGGGTATGCGATACGGGTTTAGCTATGCGATACGGGGTATGCGATACAGGGTAGGTGATACAGACTGGAAAAAAGAACCTTTATTAGATATACAAAATTGCTGTATTTTGTACTAAATATATGATAAACAGTTATAACAGAACATTCAGTATAATAAATAAAAATAACACATATTTAATAAATTAAATAACACATATCTGAGAGCAGATTGTTACCCCTCGAAAAGACATTGTCAACCTTGGCTTCGCCTCAGTTGACAATGTTTTCTCGGGGTAACAATCTGCTCTATCACCCTCTCAGCTATGTGTTATTTATATAATGACCAAATACAACCACTGACGAGATTCCGAAATTATGAAAACTGCTGGAATAGGTCCGCGGGTAAAAATAGATTTTTCAGTCATTTAACCTTGTTCTTGTTTTATCTTGATCAGTACAATAACAAAAGGTACATTCGACAAACGTTACTTAAAAATCAGGACAGAAGGTTTATAAACTGGTAAAATATGCATTAAAAACATTGGTACAATGAAATAATACTCAATAATTCTATACGATGTGTCAAAGAAGGCTAGCAGTTAATGATTGATTGTAGGAAGGGAAACGCTACAATTAGTACAATAAAATTGAGAATGGAAATGGGAATTGTGTCAAAGAGACAACAACCCGACCAAAGAGCAGAAAACAGCCGAAGGCCACCAATGGGTCTTAAATACAGCGCGAAAATCCCGCACCCGGAGGTGTTTTTCAGCTGGAGTATGATAGGGCAAGTGGGTGGAACGGACTGAAGTTCATTGAATATAGATTGCCTCTACAAAATGAGCAAATGTTGAATAGGATAGAAATGAGTTTTCAATAAGCCAGCTAGGAACTATTCAGGGAGATTTGACAAGGGTTCTTCAACGAACAAAGAGTGTGACACTGTTCCATCATGTCATTGAGACATAAGACAAACATTGCCGCGTATTAATTCAGTGTACGTCGTGCACAGCCAAACGGGCGCAATTTTTAGGAGAAGTCTAGGCTGTCGTCCATCTTTGACTTAGTCAAATCTCAATCTAACGTTCAATATCGTAACAATGGGTTAAACTTTAACCACAGGTTATTTATCTGTTCTTCATCCTGTAGTTAATTTGAACCCTTTGCATAATCGCTGTTCAAATAATTCAAATTTAATCCTACTCCGGATATCTAATAATATTTTCCCTTTTCTATGCGTTTTTTCCTTATGATACATGCGATCGATCGTTACACAATAAAAGTAGTTATGGCGTGCAGTTATTCTATTCTTATTTTCAATATAATTGAAAATCTTTTAAAACTCTAACAAAAGAAAAAAGGGGACCATGCCTCAAACTCCTGTATTAATAAGCGGATTAATGCAATATGCAATAACTTGTTTTTTTATAGATATGTCTATATTTTCCCCTACATTTGACAAAATCTATTTCAAAGGATTTAAGATATTCTGAAATGTAAATCTCGGTGGACACTTTTCGCTCTCAAAATAGAATACGTATGGAAATGCAATACATGATGTATCTTTAAGAATTGCCATCCTTCCGAAAGTATACAATTTGTTAATAGATATTTGTTTGGTTCTGTTACATTTTGCAACGCCATATCAGTTCGAAGTTACATTGAAAGTGAACAGAAAGGCAAAACCTATATGTTTATGCTTAGAAATAACAGTATCTTGCATTACGTTTCATTGTGACCATTTTATTCAATTTTACAGTTACAGACAAAAATAAAAGCACACTAAGGTAAGAAAAAGCTTTTTTATGCATTCTTTAATTTTAAATGAACAAGTAAATAATAACAATAATGAGAAGGACATACATGTATGTAACTTTTGTTAACATGATTTTATAATAGACATTTTCACTCATTGTTAAAATCCTTCCACAGTGATGTTGTCCTCTATATACTGTTTGTAATGTGAGTTGACTGATATGATTGGACGAATAGTGCTGTATTTTTACTTTCAGTCAAACAGAGGACTTAAGGGAAGACACTCAAGGTACTTTTAATACTGCTTACAATAATTTGAAATATCTTCTTATACAATTCATTCTCAAGCTTATCTGAAACCACGGAGGGGGGGGGGGGGGGGGGGAGTGGGGGTGAAATCCCTACCTATACATATACTTCACAGCAAAATCATAACCCATTCATATATTTATCAGCTCATTATCATTATTATAATAAGAAGATGTGGTATTAAGTCAACTTTGCCCGAGGGAGTTGCAACCTACCTTAGTTTTTGGTAGAATTACACTTAGTTAATGAAAACAGCAAATAGATGAACACGTGTTCCCACTTTGGCAGAAGTTATAATTAAAAAACAAGAGTAGAAACTCTAATATGCGGTATAGTAAAGTAAAATGATACGCACATTAATTTAGTAAATTGAATTGGATGTATACTGCAAAGTTACAACAAAACTATTATTAAATCAAAAGTTAAAAAAAAAATTATATTGATTACGCTTACCTTGCATTGTCGATTGTTATTATGTCCGACTAAAATTGCATATACGTATTTCTGTTAATATCTGAAACCTACAGGACATATAATATATACAAAGCATACACAACTTTCAGTTTATAAATTGTATACTTTAGCTTGTAATAAAAGTAAAGTTGTTATTGCCTTAGGTAATGTTAACTTAATATGATATAATGATAAGTGGTATGATTGCCAAGAGACAACTATCCAACAGAGTCCAAATGAAGCAGATGTCACCGTACTGCCTTCAACAAAGAGCAAAACTCACACTGTATAGTATAATAAGACATCTACTATAAATGAGAATTTGAGGTAGAAACAATTTTTCTCTGACAGGAACAAATCTTAAATGGTTTTTTTCAACATACCGGTTTGCAAACATTCAGACACATATTCATTGTCGTTATAAAAATTCTCTCACAAATTACAACAATTTTACGTATATCGATTTAATACAAATATTATTCGGTACTATATATGGCCGTAAGAACCAATATTACAAATTTGACATGTTTTTTTGTAAAAGTTTGCACCGATGGCGTCTGTTCCAAAAATGAATTAATTTGAATTCGATGAAAATTTAAAACTTTACTGTCCCCACCAGAATTTCGGTTTTAGTTAAATATGTTCTTCTTGTACATTGAAGCGCCAACCTATATTGTAAATGGTTGGCAGATATTATACAAATATCAATTATTATTATAAAGTCAAAGTAATAAAACTGTTTTGAAGTCCAAACTATGGATAATCAAGAAATAAGATTTGTTTGAATAAATAAAAGCAGTTTTATTAAAAGCTAATATCATTAACAATAGTTATTAATAAATCAATTAAAAAGAATTGCAGTGTGTGTCAAAATACCTGAATAAATAATTCTGGGTCACTGTCTAAAAATCAGCTGTTCGCCAGCGGCTATAATTTGAAACTGACTGTACTTTCTGAAAACGTTTGTTAGACGACGTCACTCAATACACGCTAAAAATAGTACATGTGTACACTAATATGAAAGTAAACCAAAGTAACGTCCTAGTTGACAAGTATGATTTTGGATAATTCTAACATTATAAAAGGATAAATATGGATTAAATAGGATGTATTAATAACTTCTGAATAAGATAATTATGTTGTAACTATGAAAGATTATTCCGCATAACAAGCAAGTGTGCAAAAGTGAAAATAAGTATTACCCAGTTTCGCGGAAAATATACGCGGGGAAATACGAATGAAATGAATGCTAAAAATGTTACTGTAAATAATCGTGGCACAACACTGCCTCCCATCAAGAAAAAGAATTCTGTCCCCAGAATTGATATAAAATAAAATAGCATAACATGTTAAACACACAAGTCAAGTCGATCATTCATTAAAAAGTTCAATATAAATCATGCAAATTATAAGGTCTTTCCACTTCTTTGAGTGCACAAGACACACAGAACTTCAAATCTTCTTTCTTCATCATTTGTTTTCTTTGGAGTCTTCTACCTTTTCCTCATTTTCACTTAGATACTTGTTCATTTTAATGTCATGGTCCTTCTGCAGTCCTTCAGCATTACCCTTTGGATGGTTTTTACACAAATTGGTGTATATCCTGTCTATTTCCTACATGTGCATCAAATGTACAATTCTTTACTGTGTCTGTCAGGGGTTCCTTGAAATGATCTGGTATGGTAGAAATATCGGCCATATTTCTGCACCTATCAAATTTTACCTCCAAGGAGTTTTCTGTTTTAGTCTTCCTATTTCTCGTATTCCAATGTGCATCCATAATCTTTCGACTATCCTCAACCACTGGTTGTAGCATGGAATATCTGGTATCTATAAAATCAATATTACAACTCCCACCAAATAATATCATTTCAGAATTGATTGGTATGGTTACATTTTCAGTTAACAATACTCTTGCTATCTGGTCATCCACATTTCTCTCGGTGTAACATTCTATCCACTTGCCGTCTACCTGTATTCCCTTCTTGGGGTTTATTGTAATGTCTAGTTCACCTACGTATACAATATCACACCCAAGAAGAATACAATCACCTATACGGGCAACATACATTTCCCAAGAAAATTCATGGTTCCCAAGCTTAACATTCATGGTCGATACTCCATGGGTCTCCATGTTTATCCCTGCTTCAGCTACTACTAGCTTTCTAGTCGCTTTCTTTAATAGTGGTCTCTTTTCCTCTGGAATCCCAAAATACAGACTGCTATTAAGAACTGTTACTTCCGCTCCTGTATCCAAAACAGCTTTGGTCACCTGCCCATTAATACTTATGGGGACGTTTATGGTTGCAGACCTCACTCTGTCTATCTGGATATCACAACTTGATTGCCCTCTGCTGTCAACATTCTCCTTTTTCACCATAGGAGTCAATACAGCAGTTGAGGTACTTTGTCCTGACGTCAACTCAGACATTACCTCCACAATCTTTGTTTCCCTCACAGGAGTCAAAGGACTTAAATCCTTTTGAAGTTGTTCTTTGTTTCCTTTCTGTATCTCGAATTCCTCAAAAAGTAGATCAATATTAAAATCTGTTGACTCAGCATCTTCATTTAAAACAGTAACTTCTGCTCCAGTATCAATAACAGCTTTTATTTTTTGATTACTGACTTCCATTGGTACCTTAATACTGGCTGCTGTTACGCGATCAATTACAATTTCCTCCTTATTTTTGAATATCACGTCCTTTTAAGCACCTGTATCCTGACCACTATCATCATTTAAAGAGAGACCTTGGTCCTCCGGTATAGGCTCAGCAACAAAATCTGTATTTCCTTTCTTACTGGCAGAGTTCACCATTTGATTTTCAATCCCCTTACCAAGAAACACTCATTCAATATTTTTATCTACTTGATCCTCATTTGTCTGGTTTATATATACTAAGTCTGTTTTAATTTTGCAATTGCGGGCTGACACTTGGCCATTAGTCTCAGCCCGTTTTAGTTTAACGGATTTCCGTCTGAAGTCTGGCCTTGTGTCGGTTTCTGGTTAGGACATGACCTTGTGTAATGTCCTTCTTCATTACATGCATAGCATCTTGTGTTGTTTTGCTTCTGGTTTTTGTCCTTGTTATTCCATCTTGAATTTTGACTGTTAAAATTCTTCTTAGGCTGGTATGTTTTTGATGTTGGTAGTCTTGTGTTCATTATTTTCTCAATAGACTTGGTTACTTCAGTCGTGATACTTTCTTTCATCTCTCTACCAAACTGATTCAGACGCTCCTCTGTAACAAATCGTTTACCTCCAACTCGTCTCACTTCTATGTCATCAGACTGATCAGCATCAAAAGACCTTTCTTCTTCAATTTCAATTTGCCTTATTTGAGTTTTGCTTCTCAATCCATTTTTGCATGTAGTATGCCATGCTACAAGATTGATTGTTTTCTCCATAGTTTTAGGTCGTTTTGTCAATACATCATAGGCAATACTTTGATCATTTAATCCATTTAACATATGTTCAGTTGATATATTGTTGAATAGTTGATTATCCATGCCTGGATATGCCTTCCTGACCATTGTCTGAATGCGAGCAGCATATTCATTTACTGACTCCTTGTAATTTTTTCTGATAAATTGCAACTCTTTTCTGTAGGTTTCAGGCAGGTTGTTATTTCCAAATCTTCTTTCCATATCTTTGGATAAAAGTCGAAACGAGCTCCTTGTGTCATACGGTAGCTCTGATGCAAATTTTGCAGCTTCATCTTTAAGCACCAGTAATATTTCCTCAGCTTGACGTCTTGGGTCCCAATTATTTCTTTCAGCAATTATTTCAAATTGCATCTGAAATGTACTCCAGTCACTTCTTCCATTGTAGAATGGTAGTCTTGAGTGATAACTATCTTGCATGCTAGATGTGGAGTCTGTTCGGTATCTCATTTGGTTGTTTTGCTGTCTAGTATAATTTGGTTGAACATTTTTCTGTCCTATATTATCTGGTTGGTTATTCTGCTGTCTGTAATAATCTCTTTCATTTTCAATTTGAAAATTTTGCTGTCTTGCATTATCTGATTGGATATTCTGCTGTCGGTAGTAATCTCTTTCATTTTCAATTTCCCTTATTTTCTCCCTCAATTTAAATACTTCTTGTTGGTCATCACCGTTATTATTGCTGATTGGTCTGTTGAAACTGGTGTCACTGAACGATGTAATTTTTGGTATATTAGCCGTCTTTGTCTGATCATGAAATGGATTAGAGGCATAAGATGTGCTTATTCCTCCCGTGGAGAAGAACCATGTGCTTGGTACACCTTGTACTTTTGCATAAGTGTTTGAAACGCTACTGTTTTGAACAAATGTGCTTGTTGCACTTTGGGTATATGAACCAATGCTCTGTGCACTTTGGTTATATGGACCAGTGCTCAGTGCACTTTGTGTATATGGACCAGTGCTCAGTGCACTTTGGGTATAAGGACCAGTGCTCAGTGCACTTTGGGTATATGGACCGGTGCTCAGTGCACTTTGTGTATATGAATTTCAATAACTCTTGGTGTTCAATAATTTATATGGAAAAATACACCTTGAATTTCAATAACTCTTGGTGTTCAATATTTTATACGGAAAAATACACCTTGAATTTCAATAACTCTTGGTGTTCAATAATTTATATGGAAAAATACACCTTGAATTTCAATGACTCTTGGTGTTCAATAATTTATACGGAAAAATACACCTTGAATTTCAAAAACTCTTGGTGTTCAATAATTTATACAGAAAAATACACCTTGAATTTCAATAACTCTTGGTGTTCAATAATTTATATGGAAAAATACACCTTGAATTTCAATAACTTTTGGTGCTCAATAATTTATAAGGAAAAAATACACCTTGAATTTCAATAACTCTTGGTGTTCAATAATTTATATGGAAAAATACACCTTGAATTTCAATAAATCTTGGTGTTCAATAATTTATATGGAAAAATACACCTTGAATTTCAATAACTCTTGGTGTTCAACAATTTAAATGGAAAAATACACCTTGAATTTCAATAACTCTTGGTGTTCAATAATTTATATGGAAAAATACACCTTGAATTTCAATAACTCTTGGTGTTCAATAATTCATATGGAAAAATACACCTTGAATTTCAATAACTCTTGGTGTTCAATAATTTATACGGAAAAATACACCTTGAATTTCAATAACTCTTGGTGGTCAATAATATTATATGTAAACCACACTTTGAGTTTCAATATAAGTTGATTTGTTTGGTTTTTTTTGGTTTTTTTTATGTATTACTTTTTTCCTTCCTTTTTTTTTTAATGTTGTTTTTACCGCTGCCACCAATTGAAGCGCCAACCGATATTGTAAATGGTTGGCAGATATTATACAAATATCAATAATAAAGTCAAAGTAATAAAACTGTTTTGAAGTCCAAACTATGGATAATCAAGAAATAAGATTTGTTTAGATAAATAAAAGCACCTTTTTTAAAAGCTAATATCATTAACAATAGTTATTAATAAATCAATTAAATAGAATTGCAGTGTGTGCCAAAATACCTGAATAAATAATTCTTGGTCACTGTCTAAAAATCAGCTGTTCGCCAGCGGCTATAATTTGAAACTGACTGTACTTTCTGAAAACGTTTGTTAGACGACGTCACTCAATCCACGCTAAAAATAGTACATGTGTACACTAATATGAAAGTAAACCAAAGTGACGTCCTAGTTGACAAGTATGTTTTTGGATAATTCTAATATTATAAAAGGATAAATATGGATTAAATAGGATGCATTAATAACTTCTGAATAAGGTAATTATGTTGTAACTATGAAAGATTATTCCGCATAACAAGCACGTGTGCAAAAGTGAAAATAAGTATTACCCAGTTTCGCGGAAAATATACGCGGGGAAATACGAATGAAATGAATGCTAAAAATGTTACTGTAAATAATCGTGGCACAACATACATTTTATAGATAAACACTCAAAATTTCCTCTGTACTTGTTTCACTCACAGGAAAAAACCTGAATATTGTTTAAACATACTGGTATTGAAATATTTGCTAGTCTTTACAATATTCCCTCACAAATTATAACAATTTTACGTATATCGATTTGATAACAGTATTAGATTGTACTATGTATTGCTGTAAGAGACAATATTTCAAATTTACATGTTTTATAGAATTTTTTATCGAAGGACATCACTACCAAAAATGAATTAATGTGTTTTGTGATGAGAAAACATTTATAGTTTTACTGTCCTCATTTTTTCCAAACCAGAATTTAAGTTTTGGTTAAGGATGTCCTTCTGTGACATAAAGTTATGTTTATGTCTATTAGAACTACTTCCTTTGTTTCTTGAACATTTTTTAAGATAAACACTAAAAATGTTCCCAAATGTTTCAATTTTTATTTTCTAATCAGTTTTGTGCCATCTTTAAGCATTTATGGCCCAGGTGGGAAATACGCTCAGGGGAATTATGTCTGAATTTTATAACAATTCGTTAACTTTATGCTAAATTGAAAGGTCAAACAGTGGAAAATCGACTGTACCAGTCTGGAGAGATTGTGAATTCAGATAATCCTGCACATGTATTACAAGCAGAAGCAAATGGGGGATATGTGTATCGTGCAGTAGCATCAAGTAGTCAATCTGAACCAACTAGAACTGATAAATGTAATATATATTAGATATGTGTTGATTTAATATTTCATTGCTAGATATCAATTCCAAAGAACGGGTTTTGATTCCATAGTATTTGTGTGTGTCAAGGACGTGTTTTATCTGCGTTGTAAACAGCGAAGCAGGCCTTGTAAATGCTCGCCTCCATCCGTCCGTCCGTCTTTTTTTCCGTCTTCCATTCGTTTGTCCTTCCGTCATTTTTCCGTCTGTCCGTTCGTTTGTCCTTCCGTCCGAAAGACCTTTGATAAAAAAAAACTTTCGCGTAACCTTTCTCCGCTTCTTTGGACGCAAATGATTTTATATTTGGTCTGCAGTTTTATAAAGTTGAGATGTAGAAGGTACATCTGCCGTTCAGCCACTTCTGTTTGCCGATAGTTTTAAAATCAGTCATTGTACAAAGAAAACTTTCGTCAAACTTTTATTGGCTTCTATGAAAGGAAATTATTTTATATTTGGTCTGCAGCTTCATAATGTCGAGTTGTAGCGAGTAAGCAATTTTAGCATCTGCCGTCCAGTCACTTCCTAATTGCAGATATTTTGAAAATTTGACAACACTTATTCTACAACGAATTTTTTGTTCAAAGTTTCTTGTACAATGAAATCGAATCATCAGTTATGCTTCATTAAACATGTTATCTCAATCAATTACATGCAGTGACGCAGTGCCAGAACCGATATTGGTCTTGTTTAAAACTAGAGATAGTGGTATTTTCAGTCAGCGGATATCCTTCCGTAGAATTAAAGTGGACGGAATTTGAAGGAATTTAAGGGCATTCTTCAAGTAATCGAATAGACCCAACTCCAGATCCAAGAGAGAGGTTAATTTCTTTTTATGTAGACTACAAAAATTTTCTAACAGATTATAAAAAACAAAGACCTGAATCATCCGAACCCCCATCCCGAAAAAACCCAAATCCAAAAAAAAAAAAAAAAAAAAAATAAACACTTTCAAAATAAAGACTTACACACTCAATAACATTACAAATAGCACACACGATTCAGATCGCCTGAAAAAATCAAAAAATCTGCATAATTCAGCTTCCAAGGAGAACCACTTACTTAAACAAATTAAGGGAACAATTCTAAATTGCACAGATCACACAAGAACTCCGAGACGACTGGCGAAGATGTTGAACTTTACATGCATTTTATTTCGTTGGTTGCTGTCTCCTTGAAGTTTACCGCACTTCCGTTTGTTGATATTCATTCAACGGCATACATTCATTTAAACATCTAATTTGCAATGAGCTTTACGTTATCTTCTAAACTTACAATACATTTGTCCTAAAATTGTCACCATAATACGGAAAAAGTTGTAGCACTGTTCAATAGACCGAATTGCTATTTCAGAATCTGTGACACCTGATTCTAGATTTTGCGACATTTGGAATATTTGATATCAAAACTTTTGCTATGGGTGTCAGACATTTTCCCCTATGACGCCACAATTGTATCCTTAATTTGTCACCATACCAAAAAAGCTGTAGCACTGTTCTCATGGTTCTATAGACCTAATTGCTTTTTCAGAATCTGCGACACCTGGTTCTAGATTTTGCAACCTTTGGAATATTTGATATCAAACAACACTAACTTTTGCTATGGGGTGTCAGACTTGATTTCTTTTGACATAACAATTATCGTAGGCCCGCACTTAACAATTTGAATTTGTTTTATAGGTTATCTATCTGGATCACATTTGAATTACGCAGAAGTTGTGTTTGAGGCAGGACCTTCGTCTAATTCAAATATCATACATGGGGCTAATGACAAAACAATTTACTCAGAGGTCAATTTAGCATTAAGTGCCAGATTCCATCATGACTGTAGTGATACAAGTAGTGACGAAGACTTTATATACATAGATGGAATTGTAAATCTTGAGAGAAAAAATGAAATAAAATGAAGGTTCTAAAGACATGGTTCAAAAAACTATGGGAAATTTATTTTATAGATTTTAGTCTGTTTCTTATATTTTATTGTTTTGATGTGTATCTTTCTAACATTTTATGTGTGAGTGTCATTGAAGAGTTTAGTACAGTGTTTAAGTGATCCTCAATTTTTTATTATATTTGTACAAATAATATGTTTTCTTTTTTCTGTTTGAGGTTAAACGTACATTTCAATCATTAGTTAACATACAGTATATGTGTCCGCCTAACAGTATAGAAAACCGAGAAGATGCTGTATACTTTATCACTGTGTCTAAACTACCCCGGCAAAAAATGTTTGGACTCGATGGTATCTAATATCCGGCACGGTGACGGAACATCAATAGACAGAGAAAAGGTAGTTTTCTTTTTATTTATTTGTTATTTTTATTATATCGAAGAATATATATACATATATTACTGTTTTCTATTGTGAGATGTAATATTTCTACAACCGTTCTAGATTAACGGGGAAATAAGTAAAAATGCACGTCAAAATGGCGAATTGAGTGAATCTTGCCTCGAATTTGTTTAATTTCTCCTTAAATTGTTCACATGGTACGGAAATAAAGGTACGGAAAGAAAGATATTGACATGGAGATTGCAAAACTAGTCACTTTGAGCACCTCAATACTTGTATTTCTGCGTATGGAACGAAAGAAATGGGTCATGTCAAAATAGAAGCACCCGGTTTTGTCAATGTGTACAACCCGGTTTTGTCCTAGATTTCACAAGGAGGAACCCGGTTTTGTCAAAGAAAAAAAAATGCATAATCGCATAACATAATTGAACTTCAGCAATTAAAAGGAGTTTGGTGGCTGGTTGGAAAACGATTTCTTACAGAGGACAACCTGTTATTTATTTGAATCTGCAAACACTTAATTTCTTCTTTATTGGAACAAAAATAATTATAATTTTGCTTTGCATTAAAAAAAATACTCTAACTGCGAAATTGATAGAAATAAAGATTAAACCGCAAATTGAGTTTTAAGCTCTCTTTACGTTTATTTTATATGAATTATGTAAATTTTAGTGTTTAAACTTGAAATTACAGTTTATGGTCTTAAAAATTGAAGGACGCACATTTGATATGTGATTTTCTTGCACAACAGGATGGTTATCTTTATAAGTAATCCAATCTACCTTATGGTGTGATATTTCCTATGATCGTTTAAAATAAATCGTCTTAAGGCTAAATAATCATTATAAGGCATGATAATATTCAAACAAATGTATATATGCTTGCAGCATCGCCATAGAAAATGAATGTTTATGGTGAGAAAAGGATTACAATAATCATGCATTAAAAATCAAATCTATCTATCCCTAATTGTAACTATAATTAATACTAAGTATAAATTAGTATTATAATAGTCTCAGGCCATCGAGAAAATGCATTAATGAATAGTTTATTAATAGTTTTATAAATAAACGGTTCTGTCATCTCTCGATCCATTGTGTTATGTACATTGACGTTGGTCAATATATTATTGACAATATATAGGGACAGATTCTGTTTTTTTCAAAGTAGAAGTTATTCAAACAGCTTACATACTGCAGAGCATAGCGAAGCGAACAATTTTTTGGACGAATTATGCTAAAAAAAATCGTTAAAAAAAAATTTAATTTTTTGAGGCCATCAAAGGTGGGGTTGGGGCGTGTGACCTATACGCCGCCACTGATGTTATATAACTAAATCGTATACCAACTTAAAATTTTATAAGAAATAAGAAAGCAGGGACACCCGCGAAATTGGATGTATGTGAGTAGGATTATCATGTTTATTCTAAAAATTCACATTGATATTTTGGAATTGTCGGAATGCCAGACCAAGGGATGCAAATTCGTGTCGGCTTGAACTATTTTTATGAAGCTTCATATGTCAGAAGTTAGAAGGCCTGACTGTCATATATCCATTGCCCTTGACCTCATTTTCATGGTTCAGCGATTTCCCAACAAAATGAATAGCTGATAATGGTTGATATCTATGATCAAGGTTAACATTTCGTGTTCAAGTCCGTATCTCTAATACTATAAGTAAAAGGTCAACTATATTTGCTCGTATGGCGCACATGACTATTTAAGTGACCTTGAACTTATTTTCTTGATTAATTGGTAAATGTTAAGTTTTTTTTTTGGTTGGTTTTAATGATTGTAATGTGTTAATGTCCGTCTGGCAGGTTTCATCAGACCTTGACTTTTTTTTATGGTTCCATGAACAATGTTAATTTTATGAGATACTTTTATTAAATTATTTATCGTACAGACCTTCAAAATAATTTCGATAACGATCATTCCAGCAGTCGCGACATGTCAGCGCGTACAGTCACTCATGTATAAATACTACGTAGTATTTATTTTTGTTAAAAAAACGCAATTGAAGTTGTTTTGCCATGTCTGATTAGTTTATCTCGTTCGTGTAAGCCTTAATCATGAAATGTTAGACTTTTCTTTTAATTCAAGAACGGTGCAATCTTGTTCGGAATTCTTGGTTGGTTTTGGCTCACCTGACCCCAAGGGAAAAGTGAGCTTTTTCATCACTTGGCCCCCGTCGTCCGTCGTCTTCCGTTAATTTTTTATATAATCTTCTCCTCTGAAATTAACAAACCTTATTCACAATCTTATGTCGGTTTTAAAAGGTCTAACGAACTTATGTTTAACTGTTTTTCATCATCATTGGGGTATCTAGTTTAAAACGTTTTGATGACCCCCGCTTGTCAACAAAGATGGCTGACATGGCTTAAAATAGAACATAGGGGGATGCAAGTTTTGTCTTATTATTTGAAAACAGCTATAGATAGAGAAAATTTAACAGGGACAGATATGTTCATAAGGTTGAGCTCTACCTTTTGTTCATACACATCAAAACTCTCACACGAATTCTTATAGAAGTTAATGTCCTTGAATGACAAATTTCTCCCTTTTTTCCATTTCTGTCTATTATCTTGAAATTTATAAAAGTTATTTAGCAAAAAAGATCAGCAAGACAATATATACGAATAAGTCGACTTGGTCGGTATTCTTGTAAGAATTATTGACCTTTAATTACGATTTTCACCATTTCTTTGCGTTTTTGCCAATTATCTTACAAAAATCTTCTCCTCTTAAACAATTTAATTAAACTTGGCCACACGCTTTAATGAGATATCTGGTTTGAAAATCCACATGATCAGCCATTTGTAAAGTTATGTTTTTGTTTCAGGATACCAGTGTTAACGTTGTTTTTCATAAAATAAACAAAACCGGGTTCTAAACCGGGTCATTGTGTAGTAAACAACATTGACAAAACCGGGTGCTTCCATTTTGACATGACCTATTTCTTTCGTTCAATACGCAGAAATACAAGGATTGAGGTGCTCAAAGTGACTAGTTTGGCAATTTCCATGTCAATATCTTTCTTTCCGTACCTTTCTTTCCGTACCATGTGAACAATTCAAGGAGAAATTAAACAAATTCGAGGCAAGGTTCACTCAATTCGTCATTTTGACGTGCATTTTTACTTATTTCTCTATTAATCTAGAACGGTTGTAGAAGATATTACATCTCACAATAGAAAATAGTTATATATGTATATTTATTCTTCGATATCATAAAAATAACAAATAAATAAACAGAATCTACCTTTTCTCTGTCTATTGATGTCCCGTCACCGTGCCGGATATTAGATACCATCGAGTCCAAACATTTTTTGCCGGGATAGTTTAGACACAGTGTATATCTAATGAAAAGACGAGAATGATTTTGATTTTTTTTTTATTTAAAGGACGAGTAACAAGGTTTATAGTGCGTAACCATACTACTATTTTATGATTTACTTTACTGTATGCCTTAATTCTATTTGTTGTTTTTTTATTTTTATATAAGTTGCAAAAAGACATGCTTATTTAGTTTAATGCATAAATGACAATACAGATTTTAATTGAATTGAAACATAAAAGGTGTCGAGAAGTTTTCCACTAGTACAACATAATCACCAAATTCTTCTTATACAACATCAAGCGCCAGCTGGCAAACTTCATTGTGAATTCTAACAAACAAAACAATTAATTGAAGATCTTCAAACAATTCAAATACCCATTTGGAGGTTAATCAAAAAAGGTAAACATTATCTCTACAATCTGCTGCAAAACAAGGAAAAACAACTAAATATGTAGCGGTCTACATGCTTTATTTACAACACATTAAAACCAGTAAAAGACTTCTAGAGTTTATACTGTTTGTCAAGCTCCAAATTTAATACATAATCTAAGATTTTGCACGCAAACGCCACACAGTCTCCATTGTTCTAGCCAGGATTTGAAAAAGGCAGGGTGCTAGTGAGAAAAAGGACAATTTTACGCGTAAATGTCATTGATTAAAGGACAATTATTTTAGCCTCATAATTTATTAGCATACAGCATACAATACATGTCAGCTGAAGTGTCCCCAATAAAGGAAATGAAAGATGTCCATTCATGGACAAGATTGTCATTGTCTATTTTATGGTGGTCAGCCAGATCCATCATCTCAGTAAGACCATATGTGCAGGGAATTTCTTCAAACAAGGACAGGTCCATCAAAGCCAACTGGTTCATTACATCTGATTCTTCAAACCTGAAAACAGACATTTGTTTTATGCCAATGTGATTGACCAATGTCTTATTGTTATATTTGTGTATGTTTTTTGAAAAGTAAAATACAGCAATTACCTTGTTTGAATGTTGCAAATCAAAGCAGACAAGAATGGCTTTTTGACTGCTGTACTGAATGCTGTGACAGGTGGTGTGTTTGTTTCAATCCCACATTCAGTGGCATTTGAGTGCATTTTCCTCATCCAGGGACCATCCTCGGTCTTCTTTTTCTCCAGGAATTGAAGTGTCTTATCTACAATGCCCTTGACCATACCTAGATAAAACACAACCACATGATCAATATATCATTTATGCAAAACGTATGAAACTTATCTTGATATAATTTAGTGTATATGTATCAATATATCATGCTTACCTAGATGAATATCTCTTCTTTGAAAAAACAAAGATAGTTGGTCCATTTGTGTGCTAAAAGCATTAGAGTTTTCAATATAACTGGATCTTTCAGAGACTTCAGGATTACATTTCCTACAGGATCTCCGCTTATGGTGTGGCTCTCTAGGTCACAAATCAAAGCTCTGT